CCCCAGGATACAGTTGTAGAGGGACGGGCAGTCGATGACGAGGAAGCGTATTTTAACCTGCCTTGTCGTTGTGCCTTCGCCGAAGGTAACCATGAGCTCGACATATCCCCAAGGCTTGGAGGTCGAGTCGTTGAAGCCCTGTAAGTCCGACCCTACATACGGCGAGAGATGGGAGTCGTCCAGCTGCAGAGTTCAGAACAATTGGCTGTACATTACGTCGACGGAACTTCCTTCGTCGACGAGGATGCGGTGCACATCGAAGTTAGCCATTCTTGCCCTTGTCAGCAGGGGAATGACTGCGTTAGGGGCTCCCCCGGGGAGCTCTTCCAGGTAGAAGATTATGGGCTCCGACCTACCTTTTACCCTCTCAAATGTCACTGTTTGCGGAGGTGCCGCATCAACCAGTTCATCTAGCTTCCTTTTAGCCGAATTGATAGCCAGGTCGTTGAATCCTCCGCCATTGATGACCATGGCTGAGGGCAAATATTCACACCTGTTGTGTGTTGTGAGCGGCTCCTGCAGGTGTTCGGGGATGTTGAAGTCCTTGGGTCTGGTGATGGAGAAGGCGGTCTGGACAGGGACCGACTCGTCAGATGGTCGGGCGTCTTCCTCCAGTTCTCTTGCTTCTCGGGCGTCACGACGAGGAGCGTCGTTTCGCCGGTATTGTGCGAGCCTCCCTCCCTTAATGAGGGTTTCAATGGCGTCCTTGAGGGGACGCAATCTTCAGTCAGATGACCATGGCTCCTATGGTACTGACAATACTTGCTTTTGTCTGCTCCGGGCTTGGCGGGAGCAGGTCGGGGACGTTTGACGCCGCCGTCTTTAAAGTCCGTGCTGGCACACTCCGCCAAAATGCGCTCGCGGGAAGCTGTGAGCGGAGTGTATTTGGTAAAACGCCTCGAGGGTCCTCTTTGCTCTCGGACTTCCCGGGGTCTGTCCTCTTTTCTTTTCTCCCCGGTTCGTCGAGGAGGAGCAGCTTCCTGGCGCGGGTTGCTGCTGGATCCGCGAGTCCTGGGGTCTCGGGCTCTGTTGGCCGCCTCCCTCTCCTCGTAATCCATATACGCCCGGGCCTTCTCGAGGAGGTCATCGAATGTTCTAGGTGGCTCGATGCCCACTGCCTTTCTGAATTATGTGCCAGGGAGGAGCCCCCTCTCCAGCAAATATCTTTTCATGTGGTTCGTACAGGGGACCTGTATAGCTTCGCGGTTGAAGCGATTGATAAACTCTCTTAAGGTTTCATCCTGTCTCTGGATGATCGCCTCGAGAGCTGCCTCGGTCTTCGGGTGTCGTCGAGATACAGTGAAAGAACTTATGAATTGGTTCTTTAGGTTTCGCCACGAGGTGATTGATCCCGGAGCGAGGCCTTTATACCAGTCTATTGCTGCTTTTCTAAGGGTCGTAGGGAACAACCGGCATTTGATGGGTCCCCCGATATTGTGATAGTGCGGCATAGCCTCGAACCCGTCTATGTGGTCGACCGGGTCCGCGACTCCGTCGTATTCCTTCAGATGTGGAGGCTTCTCCATGCCCGGGGGAATGGGCGCCTCCATGATTGCTTGTGACAGGGGACCGCGGGGGTCGTCCTCGTCGCTTCGCCCCAGAGAGAGGGATGGGGACCTGTAATATTGTCGAGCGCGACGGTCCTGGTCGTGCTGGGTGTCTCTCGAGCGTGGTGCTCGTTGGTTGATTCTTCCATGCCCGTCTCCGGAGTGTCTTCTCTCTTGTCGTGCGGGGGCGTGGCCGCGTCCCCCGGCTTCAATGATGGGTTGCCTCTCCAAAGGGGGTCGTTTCCCCGAGGGTCGAGGGGAAGGGCTTCGGGAGGCATCTCTGTATTGTCTCCGCGGGGGGGACGGGAGATGTACTTCCGTTACTCGAGGAGGTGGAGTCTGGGGCCTCCGGTGCCTCCTCGGGAGATCGTCTTCTAATGCCATCAATCTTTCCCCTTGGGCAAAGATAAGGTAATTCGTCTGATTGATCGCCGCGAACAGCGCGCGGGTTGTGGCATCTGCCCCGGCGGGGACAGGGACTTCCTGAAACTGAGCAGCTCGATAGTTTGTGGGAGCTGCATTGTCTTCTTCGAGCGGCGGAGGGACCGAGGAGGACGATGCAGTAACTCCGTCGCGGTTGATTGAGGGCCCGGGGGCAGTCGACGCAGGGATGGTGTTATGACCGGGGTTTCCGGCGTTATCAGGGTGTCCATTTTTATCCGCGAGGCCGTTGTTGGTGTCGACGACGTGGATGTTTTGTTCATCACGAACTTGGTCAGCCATGACGGTGATAGTTGAGTTGAGCTTTGGTCTTTGAGTTTTTGCAAGACGGGGAAGCTAGATTCCCACAGACGGCGCCACTGATCTTACCGGATCAGACTTGGACCGTCACGACTGGCTCCGAGCTGAAGTTGAACGAGATAGGGGGTACCTGCAAGGCACTCCGATGCTAAAGTGAGTGGTAGTACGAACAGGCAAAAAGTATGTATATGGGTAAGAGAATGAATACCTGGCCCTCTAAGAATAGAGGGTATTTATAGCCCTCAGCGCGGGGCCAAGGTCCCTTCATTGGGCCGACCAGGACTGGTCCAATAAAGGAACTGCCAGGTTCTACGTGTGTAGTGGGGACCCGCACGTGGTCCCCTTCCTGGTGATGCTCTGCGAGAAGTACGGAGGGACGAGGACGCGGTCTTTCCGGAGTTCAAGAGATGGAGTAACGGTCATAGTCTGCCCTACGAGGAAGGTGCCCGAGCTAGGCTCGAGCTGAATTTCATATGGTCAACGACGTCGTGTTCGCGGGGCAGTGGCGGGCACGGCCGCAGCTTCAGGTCGACGTGCTGGCGGACATCTTTGGGCGCGCGCCCCTTGTAGAGTTGCTTGGATTGGACCTTCGTTCTTACTCTTAGGCTAAGACGGGTCCGGTCCAGAACATAAATTATAACAAAGTTTGCAATCTTATTGTCCTTGTATCCCGGTCCTCCAATTAGCAAGCAATTGTAACTTTATCAACCACTAAAACAATTGTGACTCTATGAACCACTGAAGCTCTAAAGAAAACTGGTGGAGAAGAATCAGTGAACGGTTCAAGCATTAGCCAAAGTGGTATGGACAACACTACATTGATCAAGAAAAGGAGAAGTCTAACAATTGAATTATGTTTTATTGTGATAGTAGTTTCAACAAGCTTTCAAGGAATCATGTGATGTATAATAATCTAGATTCATTATTGCGCAGGCAACCATGGAGACTTTTAGTTTAGGAATACAAGTGGATCATAAAAAACTAATTAAACGGACAATTCAAATCAAATTAAACTGGAAATAATCCGATTGGTTCTGATTCGGTTCTAAAATCGAACTGACTAATGAAAATCGAGATAATTTGGTTCAATTATTAATTTTAAATTTTAGAAACCGTTTTTTCGAGTTTTTATCTAGCCACCATTCTCACAGAAAAATAAACCACAGACAAAACCTAGCGATGAGGTACAATGAAAGTAATGGATTTTTGTCTTTGATCGAGTGCAACTATGAGGAAGGTACTGAAACATTATTGTTGAATAATTTTCTCTAACATAAGTTAGAGTTCAGACGGTGATAGTGTATCATAGATTTTTGATGTGCTGTCAGAGAGATATCATGAGGAAAGTGCTTATTAATTTGATTGTCATCATAAATGCAAGAAAACAAGTATCACGTTGTTCGTTGCACATAAATGAAATTCAGCCCATGACATGTAACCAACCCAATGATCAACTTTAATATTGATCCAAATATTAAGTAGGGTCAATAAAAACAATATGAATGCCTATAAAAACAAAGACTCTAATGAGATCAAAACATTATATGATACACTAATAAAAGAAAGCAACTAAGATTGTTAAGCAAAGATTTGATATATATCATTAGCCAAAGCTAAGTTAGTTATCTTCATGTACAAACATGTGACACTTATATTTGCTTAAATGTTCACAGGATTCAAATAAATTTAGAGATTATTGTTGACAAGAATAAGGGGGTGTTTGTTTAAATTTAAGAATCAAGTTTTCAGGAATAATTTTTAGAAAAGAATTTTCAATAACATCTATAATTTTAATGTTTTTATTTTCATGTGAAGTGTGAGTATTCATTTCCATGAAATTTATCATAATTTTTTTAAAAATATCAAATAATATATCACATTTTCCTAAAATATTCAAAAATCAAACTTCATTATTTTTCTCTTTTGAATCCTTGAATCAAACAGACTCTAATTCATCCTTGAAAAGAGGATATGTTTTTCCACTCTATAATTAAATGAGTTTTAATTATTCATCCCTATTGAAAATCAAATGATTTGAAGATTTGAAGTTTGTGGAAAGAAAATTTAACCCCCTACCCATTTATTTGTTTATTATGCTGTTTACAAGCTACTTCAATTCAGACAAACATTAACTAAAAACAACTATATAGAAATATTTTTTAAGATTGGCAATATTTTTCATTTTGAATAAAGCACTAGTTTTATAATTTCTCCTTAATGATAACAAGAAATCTACTACTACACCAGAATGCAGTAAACATTCTACTACACAAATTGTACACTCCCTGAATCTATTTAGATCAATGATTTTCCTCATTATACGTTGATTCGTTTGTATATCAAATACATCAATACTCCAGGTCAAAAGTGACGCAAACATTATTTTCAAAATCAAATAACCATCAAATAATTTAACAAATTTTAAAACTGTTTCTAATGTTGATCAGGTAGAAAAAATTGAGTTTGAGAAATGGTATCATCATTATAGACCTAATCAAATCATTTTTCACAATAGCAAGCAATTCAACTAAATGGTCCAATAAGACAAATGACAGAATACTAAAGAACAAATTCATAGAAGCCAAAAACACAAGGATACAAAAAAAATCTCCACCTATAGATTCAGCAGAACTAATACAAGCTTGAAGAATGTGCAACTCAAAATTGGAAAAAACATTACATAAAAACCTCAATTGATACTCTGCTAAACAATTAGGTGTTGGTGGCCCTGGTGTAAATCTGCTGACTTGCATGGGCAGATACCAACCTGATTAGACCTTTTGCCATTAAGTCCCTAATAGCCCTCCTTGCAAGTGATCCATTAACCTGCAAAGTGTAAGAAAAAGATATTAAAATGATTGATAAATTAATTTTTGGGATGTTACATTAATCATAGTGTCATGGAATGGTATTTACATCGAATATGAGGGAATGTGCAAAAAGAGTATGCATTGAAAAAGGTTTAAATAACAAAAGAAAACATGTTAACATTGCAAAAAGAGTGTCCATGCCAAGCTCATACACATCTACAGAATAGAATGACATAAGATGCACAGACAACAAAAATTAATATTATTTAGTGGAAAACGACAAACTGTTTCAAGGGGTTAAAAGAATTGGTTACACAGCATCGAAAAACAATAAATTTAAGGCTCTATTTAACTTTCTAGTAAGACGTGAGACTTTTGTATTGCACTATTGTGATAGAGAGAAGACAATATTTAGCTAGAGATAATTCATTTTTATAAATATCGTGAAAACAATTCTAAGAAGTGCACACAACTCTTCAACTCTTCACTTGAAGTGTCTAGTATAGTCTTGTAAGCAGGTAAAATTAACCAGTACTGAAGGAAAAAAAAAAGAAAATGAAATCATAAAGTAAATAAGGTCTAAATTCTCAGAAACACCTGCATCAACATGGTGCCCTAAATATCAGCATGTCAAACGTAAATGTGTTGATGCAGAGTAAAAACTGACAAAAGAGGAACATTCGAGGAAATGAAGAATTATGTACCAATCTGTGGTAAATGACCATCTTAAACCCTTAAACAAATCAACAATATATGTAATCTGTACTACTTAATGTTAACTAAACCGCTCAGTAAAATCATCTCCAAGTCAAGTAATAAAAAAATGGTTATATGATCTAAAACAAATATTAAACATTCCAAAATGCAGGGTGAAAATTATAATGTTATCTGTGATTTATTTCCTATGCAACTAAGACTACCAAAAGTTTACATGGAGCAAACATTCCAGGACTAAACCTGGAAATTGAAACTATAACTCGAAGCATGCAAAAAAAGTGAGATTCTGACCCTATGACAGAACATGTATCAAACAACAATCAGATATAATTTAAGTAATAAGAGTAGCAAAAGAAATACCCTCAAACGATCAGAGAGAACTGAAGGAGTGATGAGCTTATATTTAGGTGCTTCAGTTAGGAGCTTGTCATAGGTACCCTGATCAAACAACACCATGTTGTTCACCTTCTCCTTTTGCTTTCCTTTGCTCCACTTCTGCAAAACACAGAAAAATAAACCTCTTAATATCACACATTGTACAAAAGATTTACCCTAAATTTGGATAAGCAATAAACAAAAAATTATATACAGATCTAAAAAAACATGTATTTCTAGAAAATGTTCAATGTTAATTACTTATGATAAAACAAAGCTAAATACAACAACAACAAAAAACATAAAAGAGAAAACCACGGAACCTTCTTCTTCTGCTTGCCACCACCAGATTTGGCTGGCTTGGAGGACGGTGGAGGGGCTTTTTCCTTCTTGGGAGCCTGCAAAAACAACATACAAAACCAATTAGAGAGACGAGGATTGCAAAAATCATGAATAGATGAAATTCAGAACATGGATGAAGAGTAACACACCATGGTTTGGGTTGGGTAGGAGCAACAAGACTCTGATAGAGGCGCGAGTTGTGAAGAGTAGAGACGATTACAAACCCTAAGATTATATCATGGATGCGTTTTATATCGGCAACTTTAAGCTACGTCGTTTAGTTCCACTTTTCCTTCAAGCGGGCCTCTGTATAGGCCCAGTAGGTTGAAGCTGCAACGGCCCTAACAAATTCTGGTCCAATACATTTAGAAACTTTTATTTAATTTTATTTTTAGACGGTTTGCATAAACTCACCATAAAATGAGTTTTTTTTTTTGTATAAAACATAAGTTTTTTTTATATGTAAAAAAAATTTCAATAAAAAGAGTTCTTTTGAAGTATTAAATTTTACTTGAAAATTTCATATTTAATTTTTTGGAATTTATGTATATTTAAAAAAATCTACTTTTTAAAAACTTAAATGTTTTTTACTTTTAAAAGCAGTAAAAATAATGTAGACTCTAAAACATATTGTTGAGTGTGTGAGAAGTTTAAATTGATGTTTACAATATGATTATATAAATAGCAATGACGTAATATTGCTTAATAATCGGATTTATATATATTGATTCAATAGCGTATAACAGACGAAAAAATAGAAAATTCAAAAAAATGAAACAGCAAAAAAATAAGCATTCAAGAATCATTTGAGCTATTATGGCCCTAATGGCTATTGCATCGTGTCAAAATTACATTATTAGAAAGGAATAAATTATGAGGCTACTACATGTTAGGCGTAATGAGGTTCAGGTTGAAATCTTGTATTTCTTTCTCATTCTTTTTGAAAAGTTCATACATCTCTTTAGTTTAACTTTTCTTTCACTTATGCATATTTTTGACTCTTCAATTCGCTCCAAAGTCCTGAGTGAAACATAATGTAAATGAGAAAATGGATGTAAAACAAAATTAAAATAGATAATAATAATGATAGATTTGAATGACTAAAAATGACAAAAACATTACTTATCAGTTACGATAAAGTTCACAAATAAACATTAGATTATCTTGGATTCATATATAATATTAGAGTTTACTTTGCTTGAGACTTATTACATATTTGTGATGCTTCATATTTGTGATTATATATATATCATAGGTCCTCCTGAAAAATCCCTTTCTGGATGACTACGATTAAGGTTATCCACTTACTTACAATTCTCAACCAAAGCTTCATATCGTCGGATCTTATATAGAGTAACAACCTCTTTGATGTCATAGCAAAAACTGTTCTCAAACCGTTCACACTTATAATCCTAATCAACCACATCGTTGAAGAAGCAGAAATATTTTACTAAGGATTCGAACTTTGCATCATACTAAGCGAAAATCATATTACTATGATGCAACCTAAGGAATTGAGCTTCCTTCTCTACTCTGGAACTTCTTAGAAAGTATTTGTCTAGGAACTTCTGTCTGAAAGCTCCTCATGCAAATTCTTCTCATTTGTTCTGCATTATGCTTTTAGCTTATCTCCATCAACTCTCTGCTTTGCCACTCAGCAAAAATGTGGTATATTCCAGCTTAGTCTCCCCAGTAAATTGAAAGACTTCAAATATCTTCTCAATCTCTTGCGGCTACATATCAGCCTTGTCAAGACACGGTCACCATTAAACCTTGGCGGATTATGGCCTCAGAACTCTGCTAGTCCTCTAGTTGTTGCTAATACTTTTTCTTTTTGTTGCCTTTGCTCGTCTCTCTGGGCTTGAGTTTGAGCTTGTAAAGTCGTCGTACTAGCTTGTTGGATAATGACAACCATCATATCACACATTGTCTACATGGTCTCTATCATATTCGCTTCATTCCCAGTATTAGTATCATTTAGGCTTTATGGTGTCATTCCTTAATTCCTACAAACTACTCGAGTTAGGATCATTTAAAATTCAATCAAAACTATTTAGGTATGATCTCAAGTGAATTCGGTTTGCATAATGTACTGAATTTACTATCAGGGGCATCTAAACATTCATAATAAGTTATTTTAATATTTCTAATACAAGAAAGTAGCACCACATAACATGTCAAACAACACAATTCCAATTCACATACCACACAAGCATGCATCAAAGAAACGTTATCCCATCCCAAAAATATTTGTCAGAGGACTATTGCTCTGATACCATATTGTAACGCCATTGATTTTTATCCAAGACATGACTCAAAGATTATTAAAAATATTTGTTTAAACAAAATAAAAGGTTTTGAATTTAACCAAACTCTGACAATTCAAATTCATAAGCGGTAAATCACTGCATTTCTAATTCATCCGAAGGAAAATAAATAAATGACTTAAAGTATAATATCAATCAATTTCTAAACTACTGAAATATTTTTGTTTTAAAAACCCCTTCTTCCTCACGATCGTTCGACAAACAAACATCAATCAATCTTGAAACTCCACATTCGTACCTAAAATATTTTTGTAAGGGTCGGTTATCCATGTATAAAATAAACTAAACGAGAGTTAAAAATTAGAAAAATATCTAGATACACATATCATGTCCAAGAGAATTAATAACAAAAAATTCACCAAAGTTATTAATATCGACTGTACCATAATATAGTGCACATTAAGGATTAACAACAACAACAACAACAACAACCACAAAGAGTTAGATGCAAAATATGTATGCTCTTAAACTACATAATCTCGATAAATCAACTGTCACTAAGGCAATCACAGAGAGATCTTTACCCGTCACTACGATAACCACACAAAGATCTTTATACGCCACTAAGACAACCATACAGAGATGCTTACCCGCCACTAAAGCAACAACACAAAGATCTTTATCTACAATTAAGGCAGGCACAAGATACATATAACATGTCATGCATGCTAAAAACAAAATATAATTCTGCCACATGGACAACCACAAAGTAACAAACAATATTTATTCTCTTTCATATAAATATAATATGAGAAAATATATGGTGCACTGTCAGTGTAAAAAATTTTACACTGACAACCAATCACCAACCTTCATTATACCAAATCACTATAATATTTTTAATTAATTTATATGACATAGCACAACCATGATTATTTATTAGAAGACAATGTAAAATTATTTTACACTTTTAGTATAGGGCCATTAAACCCATATATCTTGTCAATATCCAGGATTGGATTTTACTCAATATGGAGGAAGAAGGTTGGTGCAACTATTGGGCTATGAGTTGCCATATCATTTGGACTTGACATAATAAAGAGACACATGGGGATGATTATAAGCGACCGGTGGATCAAACTAACAGTATTAGGAGAAAGATGTTGGATTATGGTGAAGCGATGAAGGTGAATGAGATGTTGATGGATAAGCGCCTCGTTAGTTTAAAAATGAAATGGAAGCCTCCCACTGTTGACATGGTGAAGTTCAATGTTGATGGTGCTTGTGGGATAGATAATATTGTGGGTTGTGGTGGTATCGTGAGGAATTCTCATATTGTTTGGTTAGGTGGCTTTTCCAAGTTTATCGGAAGATGCAACTAGTTCATGGCAAAACTATGGAGTGTTGTTGAGGGGCTTAAATTCACAGTGTCAAAAGGTTACAGGAAGGTAGATTTGAATATAGATTTTTTGAAAGTTATTCAAGCTATCACATAGAGTAAGTTGCATATTAGTATTGAGAAGAATTTGATTCACCAAATAAAATCCTTGTTGGACATGCATGAGAAGATGGATATTAAGCATATTAATAGAAATGTTAATAATTGCGTCAATGAGTTAGCTAAGTTGGACAAGAGCCTTCATGACGATTTGATTTTGTTTGATATTGTTCCTAGTTATATTCATAAGAGCTTCGAAGAAGATGATAGAAAAGTAACATTTTATAATAGGGTGATTTTGTAATTTGTTTCTTTATCTTGTCTTGGGCTTAGGCCCTCCATTCTAAAAAAAAAAAGAAGATAATATTCTTCACAAATATAACTAACCAATTATAATTATTTTCTCTACTCAAAGTAATAACACACTATATTTATTTTTCGTTACAAGACGAATATGGATTTTCTTTCTACTCGGTTATTGATTTGGCTTTAGAAATTGAGGATATACTAACACAATATGAATTAATAGTATACGAATTCATAAAATATACAAAACACAAGTCATTTTGTTGTTTGTCACCACTCAGTTGTTGGAATAGCAAGTGTGAGTAAGTGGGGAAATAGTCCTACATTGGATAGAAATGCGGAGACTTAAGCATATATAAGTAGGAGAACTCACTCATCTATCACCTTAAATTTTAGGTGGAGAATAGTGTGTCTCTCTCAAAGATATTTTTACACTATGCATTAATGCTCTTAATAATCCTCAACATCAATTACACTTTACTTGACATTTATAGAATTGACATTAGAATATAATGCTCTTGTTGCATCTTTATTGCATACACCTAACATTATAACACAGAGCTCTATAAACTAAAATCACATCTCTATGTTCTCCACCCAAATTAAACCTTCATTTACTTTTATATACTACATTGTGGAACATGCAATATTATTACCGCAATTACGTTTAACATTTAAAACCAACTCTGTTTGGGAAATTAAATTAAGAAATAAAAATTAAACAGAATATGAAAATCAAACATAAATGGAATATAAACGATTCATAGCTACGAAGACATGCTATTACACATTATTTTAAGCTTAGTTTTCAATTAATTAAATCTTTTCAATTATTTAAATCTCTAAAATAATGAAATCTATCTAATTCCTAACTCATGTTTAATTTAAAATTTGCATGGAAAAGTCTTTACTTTGATGTATTTTCCTCGAAAATAATTTTTCTATTTTACACCAACATGACCACTCTAAAGGACTCCCTCAAGAATTGATACTAGAAAGAACTATGAAGATTATTAATATTGTAAAATTGCAGGTGAACATAAATATTTTTTTGGGAGAGTTTTTGATTTTGAAAAGGATTTATAAGTTTTAGACGTGAAAGTTGAGAGAGAGTGAGAATCATGAAAGAAGAACTATTAAG